CTTATAGCTGATTGACACCGTCACGACCCTTTTTCTCTTTTTTGTAAATAACAGCTGAAAGCCTCTTTACACGAATATCCATAAAGGGTACAACTTTTACCATTGCAAGAAGCTATTCCATGAATGGGTTTCGTTGCTGAATGCCAAAATTTTGAAACTTGCATTCTCGTGACCACTTTTCTTATGATCAACCATTTCCCCTTTCTTTTCACTACTCATTGATATGTTAGATGAAGAATATCCGAGTTATAGTTACAGCATTGAGATTGGAAATGGAAAAGGAAAAGGAAAAATTGGTATAGTGGACAACAATGGAAGAAATCCTATTTTTTTTCCTTTCATATTTGGAAGTCTATAGTGCAGCCTCCAAGCTTCTCTGCGGCTTCTATTTCTGATAGTAAGTTGCATTTGTTCAAGAACATAGTTGCAGAAAATATTTGTTCGAGACTTCTGTAATTTTCACGTGAAGAATTTCTGACTTGGCTTGAGGGTTGTTTCTTGATTTCGACGTCGGCCAGAGCTCCCAAATTTCCTTTGCTCAGAAGAAGAGGCTGCGGTTCTGGTTCTGTTCAATGATAACGAGCAGATCAGATTATACAGAGGTATACATATAATTAGAAATAATGGTCAGGCACAAAATTAAATCGAGGGCCAGCGGGGATGCTTGGTGTCACAGTCATGCTTGAAACGGCGATTGTCGCCGTGATATTGGGCGTCTAAGGGGGTGAATGTGAGACCTCACGTCGGTCAGAGAGGGAAACGAAACATCCCTTATAAGGGTGTGAAAAAAATTTCGACGCGTCTTATAACTATGAGGCTAACGATTATACGTAACAGCTAAAACAGACAATATCAGCCAACAGTGGGTACAACGTATGAGTAAACTAGTTGAGATATGCTCAAACACCCAATTAATCTATGTGACAGCGGCTTTGATCCCAAAGTATTTGATGAAGACTTGTCATATTTTATGTAAAAGCCGATATTGAACCATGACTTCAAAGACAACACACGGTAACATGTTCACACTGAAGAGATATAGAGAGAGCTTGAGTAACCAGCTAAATGTATTCCAATGAGGAACTACTGGGTGAAGGAATTATTACGTACCTTCAACTTTGAGGGGAGACTCTGGCCTCATCATGCGTGCTTGTGAATTCCCTCTTGTAATACATAGCCATTTTCTATCTTCTTCATAACCATGCTCAGAGGCAAGGGGCACATGCCAATGGCCATTCTCTGATTCCTGTTAACAAATTTTACCATGAAATATATCATTAAATATTTATTCTTGAGCTTGTGACGAAAGTCATGCAATAAGAGACAAGCCAACACATTTCTTCTGTTCCTACTTCCTAGTCACACACAGACATGTTTGTGTGTTTTCAATGTAATATAGGTTGACCTGGATTACGACAGAACAAGGTGAAGGCATGTGAAACACTGGACCAGTAGCGGAGAAACTAAAGTGCACCTGTCATAAGAAACCAAGAACACATCTGTATCACCAATCATTTAAAACAACTTGTGCCATTGATTTTTTGTAAAATTAGAAAACAATTCTGTATCCCATTCATTTACTGAAAGAGTTCTCTTTGGAGGAGCTTTACTCACTTGATGCCTTTCTTTCCATCGACGGAAGAAATCATTTCCAAGAAGTTGGAACGTATGATCTCTCATCTCATCATTCGTCACAATTAGGCAATTGAATTTGATTGCTGCATACAACCAGTACCTGAAGAATAAGTCAGTTACAAAATGCTTCATATAAACATCAATAAAACAAGAAGTTTCACATGTTATCCATCGAACCGTTGAGGATGGTTGGGAGAGAGTCCTACGTTGGCTAATTAAGGGAATGATCATAGATTTATAAGTAAGAAATAGAGAAACTAAAAGCAAAACCATGAGAGGTTATGCCCAAAGTGGACAATATCATATCATTGTGGAGAGTCGTGATTTCTAACCCAAACTATGAAGTTAAATATGAAGATGAATTATTTCTCACCAATCATCATTTGATCCAGTGGGCGTTGCATACAGTGCATCAGCATTTTTCCACTTCTCAACCAATGCTTTATTTACTGGTTCATCCATCTTACGTCCAGTAATTCGCCTGTTGTGCAATACAATCAGAGGCCGCTTCTTTGAAGGAAGCATCGGCCGTATCCCGTTGGCAATTAAATTGACCTAAAGCAATGAGCTTGAAATGAGACTCCACAAGAACCAAAAGAACAGTTAGTACAACAGTGTGCTGATAACTTACTTTAGATGGTGTGAATCTTCTTTGGCTAAATAGGCCTACATTAGCAGCATCAATCACTGCTTCAAATGGTCCATAATATTCAAGCCATTCCTACAAGGGGAAAGAAAAACCCTTCAACATAACGTTTAGAATGTAGAGATTATGAATAACAATACACAAATGGCTTATCATACTTGAAATTTCTGAAAGTTTGAGTTTTTCTCTCTTTGTGTGGCTATAGCTGCAACAGATTTAGCAAAATTCTCAGTTTCAATAGGGTCGAGATCAATTGTTGCTAATTTTTCCCCACAGGATGTACACAAACCATCCTTTCCAACATTTGTAGATGATACACTCCACTTTCCCCTTCCCAACCATCCCAATCCATGCCAACCTCCACCACAATTTTCTATTGCTTCCTTTATTTTTGTTCTATCCAATTTTACTTTCCCCACTCTTGTAGCAACTTTGCTCTTGAACCAGGTACTGATAAGATCTGCTGTAGAGGGTGAGACTTGTCTTACACTTGTTCTCAGTTTATCCAATAAATAATACACCTTCTCAGCGTCACTCGCGTTTATACTAACTTTTAGAAGTGCTGCCAACTCAGGCTCTTCTGGATACACACCATGCTCCAACATGTGCTTCTCAACTTCAAATGCTTTATCTATTTCCCCATTATTGCAGAAAGCAGAAAGGGCAGGCCCATAAGACCGCAATCTAGGATTAATTCCTAATGGCTTCATCTTCTTCACCATATCAAAAGCAATATCACCATCGCCCATGGACATTGCCATTCGGGCCACAGATGTCAAGGTTGCTTCATTCATTGGGATCTTTTCTGCACACATTTTCTCATAGATCTCGAATCCCTTCTCGAGAGCATATTTTTTAAAATCCTCATCTACCAAAATATTTGAATAGCTCTTCTCATCAATAATCCGAGCTTTGGACACCATAGATCCATTTGTATGAACTATATTCTCTTTACTTCTATCATTTTTGGCATTCGATTCTGTCCTTTCATAACTTCCACTCTTTGAAACAGAACTAATCTTGGAGGAATGTTGTTCATCCAGTTTAATGGGATTTTCGAAAGAACCCATATTAGATGAAGTTAGTGAAGTTGAAGTTCGATTATCTCTACCACTTTTTGCGGGCTGGATTACACCCAAAGCCACTGAGGAACAAAGATTCAAAATCACAGCATAATGATATTGCTCCAGCTTAATTCCTTCCCTTTGAGCCCATTCATACAATTCAATAGCGCCCGCAATATCCCCCGTCTTTGAGCACATATCCAACTTTTCTCTAAAAGGGATATCGTTACTCTCTTCAGAAAATTTCCCCTTCTCCTCTAATACCTGATTTCGCTTGCTCTTGTCCTTAATCTTCCTACCATCCCCTGCGCCCCTAGAAACTTTTGTGGAACCACTGTCACTTCTAGACTTAAGGAAAGAAACCCCAGCACCCATTTTCATTCCATTAGCAGAGCCGGAGCTATTCCTATTCTTAGCGTTTTTATCCCTCTCAAGCCGTTTCCCATCTCTCTCCTCCACCTCTAAATAAACAAGGTCTTCCGCACATTTCTTAACGAGTATTTCATTTCCATTCCCTAAATGACGAGACCCATTTTTGTTTAGCTTCTGAATCATGGAATTGGAAAGTCTACGGTCTGTGGTAGTGGTTGAAAGTCCTCCTACAACTCCCTCTCCAACTCTAAGTAAACAAAGTGTGTGTTTGGGAGTAGAGAAAGTGGGAAAACGCGGTAAACAAAGGGCGAGAAGTGAGAACTTACAGAGAGAGTTGGAGGAGAAAGAGTGGGCGTGCTGTACAACCATTAAGAAAGAGGACGCCATTTGTGGGCGTCTGAAGCACCATAACAGTGATGCTGATATGGTTCCAAATTCCAGGACGATGATAAGTTAATCGTGTCATCAATAATTTCCCCGCGCAATGAGAGAGAAAGTGTGTTCTGCGTGGCATATAATAATCTAGATCAAAAGTAGTTAGATTACACTCTCTTATTAAAATTTCTTTTTTCAATTTTAAAAATATCCTACCCATTCATAAACTTTTTTAATCTTCCTAGTATATTTCATATTATTTTAATTTAATGATCGTATAATATTTTTTTTAATTTAGTAATTCAAATTAGAAGCTCGTAAATTTTGTAGTTTTTTTAACCCGATTCTCAAAAGTAGGACCTATACAAAAATAAACGAACCATTATCTTCTTCTGACTTTGGTGTCATTACGAGCAACAACAAGTGTGATGAGGATTCAGCTACAACAATGAAGGTCATTGAAGGCAACGAGGGAAGTTTAAGCTTAATTAAAATGTCGAGGGATTATCGAAAACATCTGGTAACGAACAGAACGACACTCATTAGTACAATAAAATTAATCATAGCCAACCTTGTTAGCCTTGTTGATAGTTTTACAAACAATAAAGGTGACATTGTTGTTAGAGAGAAAAGGGACAAATATTATGGCAAGAACGATCCAAAACCTCTACATCTTAGGATGGACGACGAATCGACCCAAGGTCGACAAGAAATAAAAATCAACAGCAAATTAATACCAACGATCTTTTAACCTTTTCGTTCGAACCATTTGGTGAAACTTTTCCATTCAAGTAAGTGTATAAATAAATAACTCTATAAGCGTCAATCCAAACTCACTTTGATCCTTGCCAAGCTATTTTTCAGAGTGACAATTACAGAATATTTCAATATAAAAGCAGAGCCTATAATGAATAAAAATGCATAATGATGTTAATATTTTATTTCATTGGTCATCAAATGGGATGGATTATTGCTCTTTGTATCTATCTCTTACAATGATTAGCAATTACAAGATCTCTATCTACGATTGGGACACAAAATTGGCCTCAAATTCTGATGAAACTATAAAAACGAATAATACATATTGAAATGAGATCACCACAGCAAACTTGAACAGACCAGTTTCAGGAAGCAAACCTGAATGAACAATGGACTGTAACTACACAGATGGAACAACAGGCCAGTTACTTTCTTGGGGTTTTTCTACACTTCTCTGTCAACTTCTGGTTTACTCTTCCCATTTTCAGGAAGGGGTAGAATTCTGGGTAGCAGATCATTACTAGGGCGACCAGCTGAGTTACCGACTTGCGGTATTATGGGTGCCGAGAGAGCGACATTTTTTATGACCCCATTGTCGATAGTTCCCTGTTCACATCTGCTATTTGTTGTGAAATTGTTGCTTTGATTTTCGTTCTTCTCTTCGCTTCTAGACGTGAAGTTTGTTTCTGCAATGTCCATATTCAAGACCATAGTTAGTTCACTTATGGGAAAGGCATGATATGAACATAAACCAAAAGGACTATTTGCACTCTATTGGAACATCAAATGAGAAACTAGCTAGAGTAAGAGTGGTCATATCAGGCTATGTTTAAAAATCTATCACAAAAGATTGAAAGATAAGCTTTTTGATTTTCAGGCAGATTCAGTAGTATGCTAGGTTAATTCTTCAAGAAACAAGTAGTTGCTTTAAATGTTAAATGTTACCGCAGATATGGTTCAATAATTCCTCTGATTTTCTGGCCTTTTACACAGTTATATAATAAGTTTATCAAGCATCAAGACACAAGATTACCCTTAATCTCTCCAAGAGTGATGAGTTTATTAAGACAATCTCGAAACTTTGTCAACACGATCCGTTCCTGCTCTATGTAGACTTCTGACACAGACTTATCAGGCACATGCGATGATGTGTTGCAACCATGCCCTGCCAAACGATCAGCTGGAGCAGCTCCCATGAACATTGTATCTCGTTCGTCACACATTAAAGCTAAGGTTCCTGGGGACATTGGCCTTGATTTTGTCATATCTGAACTATCTGAATGATTATCATGTACAAGCCTCTCACTTTGGTTTAAACTTCCACACCCACCATCGACAGCTTTCTCATCTGCCTTCTCATGCTGTGAACCATCTCCAGCTGATGAAACACGGGAAATCTGTAGTGGATCATTTATCTGCTCCTCAGCAATTCTTTTTTCTGGACAGACATATAAAGAATTTTCATGTTATTTATAGAGTGCAATTAATGTTAGTTCATTAAGGCTCCGGAAGCATACTAATTACTAAAAAATAAACCAGCAATAGAGCAAGATAAACTGTCAAAATCGTAACCAGCATAGAGTTTTTCCTTACTAGCCACCTTTTTCTCCTATTTCAGCGTAGTCCGATTCTCAAAGAGACATATTATCATCTAACACAACACCCCAAGAGGAATAAAGATTAATCAATTTCGGTGTTTTCTGAAAAAGAGAGGCAAATTACACTGTTTGTTCATGCTGCTGCTGGGAAGCCATTCCCGTGCTTTATTTTTTTAACCTTCAAAATCTAATTAACGAGGTCCAAGGTAAATTCCTTTTCTGCAGTTATATTCTTAAAGCAGATATTTTCTAAAGAAATGCTGCGATACCCAGACCTCATGGCCCCAGTCCTAGAGGCATACATTCTCTCAGGCCAGAATGACAAGATGAGTAGAAACGCATTACATGCAAATTTTGAAAACGCATTACCTGCTATGTTCTTGGCAACTTCACTTGACAACACCACTAAAACTGAGCAAAGCTCCTTCAAGTCGTGTGGCTGGACGAGGTCAGCTAATAGGGACCTTAAAAAAATGGTACACGTTTAGTTCAATAAGCAAGCTGGTTGACTGCATTACTACAAATTCCAGAAACCATTCAACTGATACCTGAATGAAAATTTTGAAGTCCCCGGTGCTGCAGGGCTGCCAGCATGAGCAACTGGGAGGGGAGATGATGTAGACGTGCCTGAAGACATTAAATTATTCACCTGATAAACACAAAGAATGATGTTAGTACCTTGATCGCGAGCCCTGACTCATAAATTATAACATACAGATGCATACAGATGCATACAGCTTTATTACGAAGAAAATAAGAGCTTCCGACTGCATTAAGAACAGACTATAGCTGAGCTCCAATACAAAAAGTAATTTATTATTATTAGAACGCAAAAAGTTCATTTTTATGTCTTCCAGTCTCAATGAACAAGCTAACAGTTTTCCACATTAAGATGTCAGCACACTAAGGAAAGAACGTTTCTATCAGAAATCAAATTTCATATTCTGAAGATACTACCTGATGAAATTCTGGAATGCTGTTGAGGGGGGGATCCTTCCCTACAGAGGCAAAGCATAGCTCTGGGACTTTTCTTTTCTTTGAAGTGGGAAGGTAAGCATAACCAGACGATCCAATAGCTCCAGTTATTGCCGCATTTGCTGCCTGCTGAATATAAGCCATGTTGCTGACATGATCACCATGGAAAAGAGCTTGTCTCTCTTCACTGCCTTCAAAATTCTTGCAGTCCATGCACTTACAGTTTTCAGAGCAGAGAATATTGGCCTGAAAACACTCACAATACTTCTTTAAGCAACCTGATTTCTTGCAATGGCATCCTTTGTTGTGCTTTCCCAGCATTACCACCTCTCCAACCTCATCCTACATATGCTCAAAATAGTTCATCTCGTTGTAAATAAAACACGAACAATTTCTTTATTGAATAGCAGTGATGATAACACATCAAACATCGTTTGCATATGCCAAGTGAAAAATGATAAGAAGAATAAAGAGATTCAAATTCAATGAAGAAAAATGTCAGAAGCCAATACTGGGCCCTCACAAAACGTAACATGCTTTCTCTGAAATTGTTCTTAAAATAAGATGCAAAAAAGGTAGACATAACATCGACTGAACATTCACGAAGAGCTTGGAACCACTATTGATAGCTCTAAATTCAACTAAATATCCGATCATCTCCAGAACCAGAACATTGTTTAATTCCTCAAATGAATCAAGACAACAGAGTAACATCTTCTCTAGAAATTAATGTGACGCCACTCAGATGGTATACTGCTATTTTCTAATTAATTGCACAGAAAGGAAAGAAGTTTCTCAAATGAATTTCTAAAGTGACTAAAATTAACTAAATACCTAATATTCCTCATTCAGTTTCATGGATATATATATATAAAAACCATGATGTAAAGTGTCCATTACACTTGGATTCAAACCAACACACGTACCCTGATCTCTCGTGTTCCATGTGGGCTGCTAGCAATTTTTGGTCGGAATGCATTTGGATTACGTTCTAAAGTAGTTTCAACTGCTTCTCTCCTGAAAGCTTCATTCTCCACATTGTTATAGCAATTTGTGCAATTGCAACCATCACAGTATATTCCAGATGCAAAGCACTCGCAATACCTGTTGATTAATTTTGTTTCAGCTATGACGAAAATTTGAAGGCAACAAACTACCCATATTAATACTAAAGTTCATAATGTAAAAAGATACAAAAATCCACATTATTAGGTTATTTTACTTATATTCTCTAACTATTTATTAAGAGGACATTTCGAGATAATTTTGATCTGCTACTTATGGTATTTTGCAGGAGGATGTAGAGCAGACTCTATATAGTAGAGTAATGCTACCAGTGGCCATATCAAAATCGAAGTTATCAATATTATTAAAAATTTATTGACATACATTCAGAAAAGCTATTCTTCCTGCTGGCTAAACGTCATATGAATTAATATTAGATCCAATTCATTCAAACTGCAAAATGCTAATTGATCTCCACTGGTCCTTATTCAATTCAATTACGGAATAAATGGCCATAGATTGAACTGCAACGGGGGTAAAACGAAATATTGCTATAAATATTACCGCAACTCCATAAATAACATACACCTCACTATTATCCAAAAAGCCACTAGAATATTTGACTGCTGCAGTACTTCCAACATTTCAACAAGAGGTCGACCATGGTTAGCAAAAACAATAAAGCAATTATAGGAGTACCAAAGAGAAATCAAAATCCAGAAACTATTAATAAATGTTACAGAACGACTGATCAGAATAACTGTACTAAGGCATTGGATGTGTTGTAGATATGCTACATTAGCACAGAATTAACAAATTGGTTTAAAAGGGATCCCTATGGGGTAACCAACTTTGTAAAAGCATATAGATCATGTTCTTACAGCTTTAAGCAGCGTGAGTGTTTGCAGTTGCACTGTTTTTGTTTCTTTGGAGTAGCATCTTTTGTTTCAACATTAGACCTCGATCTTGACTTCGGAGAATCTGGCTTTCTGGCCAAAAGAGTAAATAAAAACCGAGTCACACGTCAATTATAAAGTTATCCCAAGTTGTCAAACGTTCTTAGAAGCACTTAAAAAAAACATGAGCAGGCACTGAATTCAACTTTGCTACTGATAAACTTCAAGAACACACTCAAACTGAAGTCGCCTTGGCAATAGAGGTTAGACGTCTTGATCCACATTAAAGACAAGGTCGCAGCTAGAATATAGTACAGGGGAAACAGTGTTAAAATCCATCCTAATCAGAAAAGGAAAAAAAAAAAATGAAGGAAAATTTACAGAAAGAGATTTCTTTTAAATGAGAGATAATAGATTTATTGAAGATCTTTGCCTAACCTATCAAATGAGACAAAAACTACGAAACTAAGATGCCAAATACATAGTTAAAATCGACGATATGAAACTAAGCAACGCCTAAAGAACCCACTGACAAAAAGCACAAAATCTAACCCCCAAACAAAAATGAACAAACTTTCTAACTCAGGAGGAAATGGGGCAAGAACTTTCGAGTAAATGACACAACAGAAGACCAGAAGTTAAATGAAATAAGTTAGAAATAAATGAAGTAATCTCGATACGACACAATTGGATAAATATCACACTCCGAGCTAATTTATTTATTAATATAGATCTCTGATTAAAATGGAAACAATTTTGCGAAATCTCACCCGCCCTTCCCCAACAGAAAGAAAAAGATAAATACTTCACAAAGCTCACAGAATTCGTCAAAGAAAGCAAGAAATCTCAAGCAGACCTCACAGGATGAGGCGCTTGTGTTCCAATGGGCGAAACCATCAAATGTTGTGGGGACTTTGGCTGCGACTGACTCTGCACCACCATCAGGCCCTGTGAGTCTGATTGAGACCGAGGCTGAGAATGAAAATGAGGGTGGTCTGGCAAGACTGCACCACCAAGCCCCGTAAAATTCAGCTGCCTAGCTAGTTTCTTAGCAGGAACATCAGATGAAACGACTTCCGCACTATTAGTTTGAGCATTTGGCGGGGGTAAATTATCCGTCTCCCGATTCCCTACTTCACCCATTAAATTTGAATTTCAAGTATCAAACCTCTAACAACCAATTTTCAAATCCTTTCCAAAACTTCCTCAATCCGCATATTCAAAACCAACAATTCAAACTCGAGAAAATCAACCCAACCTTCCTAATTTCCGGCGCGAATCCCAGTCCAACAACGGCAGTAAAGATCATGCACAAAAACGCGCAATTTCGAAACTGAAAAAACTTAGACGCCAAAGCTGGCTTCTATTACCTAAAATCACAAGAATTTCGATACTCGAAGATAGCCAAAGAGAAGGTAAACTAAAGGAGACCCGCCTAGGGCTATGCAATAATGATTTGTATACAGTACGGATAGACAGAACAAGAAGACGAGCAAGAAGGCTTACGTTGTTCGTTTCTCTCCCTCTCGAGATTTTGAATTTCAATTTTTTTCCAAATATTCAACGGTGAGATTCATCCACTTAATTCGATCAGACGGCAAATGATAAACCAGCTAATCCAACGCTGCAAATTCATAGAGCGAAGAAAACTCCACGCAATAGCCGTCGGATCACGAAAGTCCAGATATTTTCCCATGTGGGCGAAATTAACACACTGGCGATGGGTCTTCCACTAGCTGAACCACACGTGTACAGAGGGAAGATCAAGGGACACGTGTAGAGACTTGATTGAAAGATCTGGCCAAAAAGGAAAGAAAATTGAATTAAGATTCCGTTACTGGAAATGTAAATAAATAAATAAATAAAAAGGAAGAAATAAATTTGGCGGTAGCCGCGCAAGTAGTCGACTCGGATTCTAAATTTGGAGGTAAAATGGGAGAGCTCAGCTCATTACGTCGAGCTGCCAAAGACGAGATTCTCTACTTTCGATTACACGTACAGCAAATGTGAATGGACGGTCTGGATCAAAAATCGTATCACAAGAGTAACGGTCAGGATTAAAATCGGAAATTGATTAAACAAATATTTTACAAACCACTGTTTATAATTTAGTTGGCAAGTTTTCGTGTTATTCCATCCCTATTATTTAAGTAAATAAGGAAATTTTACCTTTGGTTAATAGTTTGTTGCAAGTAAAAAAACGCAGTAATTAACATTGCGCGATCAAGAAGATATCTACAAATTGTAAATTTTACCTATGAAAATAATTGCGTGAGAAGCAAGCAACAATATCTATTATCTTTCCCAGATCTGACAATTGAAAAAGAACAATATATTAAACCATTTACTTCACTATTTCAGCTGGTTGCCAACTACAGCATAAAATAATCAGAAACAAGAAACACACGAGTAGCAAGTTTCCATACTGGACCAGTATGGAAAAATCAACCACGCTCTTCATAACATCCTCTCTCTCTCTCTCTTTCCACGTCTCTAAACACAGATTACAGGGTGCTGTTCTAACCAAAACTTACATGGGAAGCCACAAAAAGCTTCCAGTTTTGACACTAAAATGGACCTCCATCGCGATCTCGTCCTAGGCCACGCCTATCGTCACGCTCCCTTTCAACATAAACATCTCTACGATAGTCTTTTGGTGGAAGGCCACCACTTAATGGAGACCGAAGAGGGACTCTCAATGGTGATCTGACTGGACCTCTGATTGGGGAACGGCTCCTTTCTCTCACGTCGCGTGCCCATCGCCCCCGCTGAGGAAGCAACGACAGTTGTGGTGGTGATAGTGGCCTTCTTTCAAATCCCTTTGGTGATAGTGGCCTTCTTTCAAATCCCTTTGGTGATAGTGGCCTTCTTTCAAATCCCTTCCTCTCGTTGATGAAGTCATCCCTTCCATTGTCTCTAAGGGACCAATCTGAAGGAGGTAGCCTATCAAACTTGGATCTTCCTCTGAAGCTGTCTTCTACATAATCAACCCTATCTCTCCGCAGGTGATGATCGGAATACCTGCTTTCATACCTCGGAGGTGCCAGACCACCAGCTGCAATCTCCCTAGGACCATCCCTGGCCCAACCACGGGGAGGTGACCTATATTCATTAAGAGTCCTGCCAGGAGAACGTTCAATAGGGTGGGCAGCAAAGCGTCTAGGAGGAGAATGCAGGGATGGTGGGCCAACATAGCCTCCTCTTCGAGGACTTCCACCAGCTCCAGTTCGGGGTCTGTTGCAGTTGTTACAAAATTCTCGTCTTGCAAAGTTTAAGTTGTCACATCTAATGAAGAATAAGAATCAACTGGTTTGAGAAAAGAATAGCACCATGAAGCAATGTAATGAAAGAACGTACAGTAAACTATGCATTAAAATAAAATAAAATCTCCGTTAGAGTATAGTACAACATGCGAAATGGTGAAGAAACCGGATCATCAAAATCATTCTTTCACATAAAAGATTGGCACACACATTCGAGCTTCTCTGATGAATCATGTTTCATTCGATACAACCACTACAGCCAAACCCGTTAAAGAAATATGCTCTCTTTTTTAATCCATAAAAGTAATATGCATGACAGAATTCTTATAGGAAAAACAACCTCAGAGTTACGTTTAAAAAATAATAACAAAATAAACTAAACCAACCAAAATACATTAATAGAAAGGATCCTATTCCATGCAACGGTTAAAATTCTAATTAATATATCTAAAAGGTGTAATGGCATGGTTATCAGCTAAGGTTTATCTGTACAAAACAGAAGTAAATCCCATTGCTATATATATACATCAAATTGTGGTGCTAGATTAGTACTTACAAAGGATCTGAGCAATACCAATCCCCATCCCTAGGACGCACATTTGGATTATTTTTACTACGTTCCCCTCTAAATGGCCCAGGAGCATGTCCAGGGCCATCAAAACCTCTCCCAAATGGCCTGCCACCACTTACTCTTCGACTGTAATGAGGCGAAGTATCTCGATACCTACCAAGATCCCTCCCACCACCAAATTCACGGCCCCGTGTGAGACCACTAGAATGATCAAAATCAGAAATATATCTATGATCATCCCGACGACGTGTGGGAGAAACTGAACCTGCATGCATTCTATATCCTGAAATAAAAAAGGGAGTGGGTTCATAAGATATAAGAAAAGTAACAGGTTGCATAGGAAAACTACTCGAAGTACAACAACCATATATCTCCAAAGATTTTCTCTGATACAACTGCAAAAGGACCAACCCAAAGAAATTGACAACCATTGCCATTCAATGTTGGCATCTCCTCTCTAAGAACAGAGCAAAAGAATGTGCAAAGATGCAGAGAAGAGAGAAAGTTCTGATGTTAACTGCCCGTGCAGGTTCCATATGTTACCACCCACATCATGAGAAATTTTAACAGAAGCAAATAAGATAGAAAAACCATGGCTACTTGCAATGAACACATGTCCAGCGTTAGTACATGTAAAACCCACATCCATCTATAATTTGAACCACCATAGCCTAGAAAGATTCTATTTCCAATTTTCCACAAACCCAGCAATGCGCCCAAAACCATGTCTTGAAGAAGCAAAAACTCAGTGCACCGAAGTCCTGGCAATGAGAAAGGATGTCCACCAATAGCCCAATCTTAAATGAACAACACATACAAGCTAGAGTCAATCACAAAGGAACAATCAACCCATGCCAATACACAAAATTCTTCAGTTGAATGACACCTGGGAGGATCAGTAAGACCAAAGCAAAAAGCTCAGGAAACAAACTGTCATAAAAAAACCCGCATAAATTAAAGTATCCAAAATCCAGATTGAGCAATGGCACCCACCCTACTCCTCTGTTATTTAAGAAGTCAACTCCAAATCTTATTTGCATGGTCACAAAAGTTCGTTACTGCTTTTCAAATCATACCGATGGATTTCCATGCATACTGCAAGAACAATTTTCCGTAGAGTCTAGTTGGCTAGCCACATCCTGTTGAAATGACCAATGATACCTTCAATCATTGACCATGATTTGTAAGAGTTGAAAGGAGGAGAGGAAGGCAGTTAATTCAATTGTAGGCCACTGGGCTGCCATTGCTATACCAATTCACACTACCAAATACTTAATTGAAACAAAGCCCTAATTGTAGGATGAGGTACAAAATGAAATATGAAGATCCCAAGTTTTCCTGCAAATCAACCCTTAATGAATCTGAAAAATAGATCAAGAATTGCTACACATAACCCAGATGGCCCTTAATCAACCAATACAACCCAATCAATGTCTGTTCCATGAGAATATCCTCACCCCTTGGATGGAAATATAGACAGTGAAAAAGTCCACCTTTAAGTTGAGAGAGCCAAAGTCAAGCACCATTAAGTTCATTTAGAGCTCATACCAATAGTCTCAACCAGGCAGGCCAACAACACTTCTTTAGCTTGTTATTTGATCGCCTTCAATTTCTCAAGAGAAAACCCTCACCTCACCATGATTTGATTATCATCAGTATTCAAACATATCTTACTCCAACCAAGCCCAATACCATAAATTCCCCAAAATGACAACGGTTGAATTGATAGCTCTCCACTCAGCAACCCAGAATTTCTTGCACAAATTTTAACCCCAAAATTAAATTGTCTTAACATGGAAAAAAGAGCAATTCCCAGGATCGTGAACTGAGCCTGCACTTACCCAAAGCCCTCCTCAAGATCTAAGTTCTTGCAGGCGGCAACACAAAGCTGTAAGAGAATAGAAAATTTTATTCCCAGAAAAAAAGTTTGACATGCGGAAGAAGATTGACATTCTCGACATGCAAAAGAAAATGGGGATAAAATAAAAGAAACAAAGAGACCACGGAATTCATTTGTTACCGGAACATCATAACATTTCTATAAGATCAAAGTGATAACCAAAAACGGATTTGCAAAACCCTAGTTATCAATGCATCCTATCCTAGTATTTGATGAATCAAAAGAAAACGTCATACACAATTTGATATTTTCTAATAAATTAAACTAAGTTTGCACAAGATGAGAATATAAGCTTATAAAAAAGTTTGCTAGAGATCTAGGAAAAATACTCAAATATCTTCTGCAAATAACCAATACATCCTCTCCAACAAGTTTCAAAAAAAGAAAATGAAAATCTGGCCTCCTGTGGAATTGGCACTCGACTGTGTCTCTAATGGCAGGGTAGACATAATGCATGATTATTGAACTCACCAAACGCCGTCATAAATTGGTCAGAATCAATGGTGAAACCCATTAATTCCAATAATCCACCATTTTGAGTAAAAATCTTAGATAGCATTCCTCTAGGTGAAAGACATAAAAAAAATCATCCTCTCTTACCAACGGCAGATGGATATTTGTCTATAAATGCAGGCATTCATATCCGTTCTCTGTGGTAAGGCAGCAAGAAGGACCAGGGAGAATAATAATAATACAGATGAGTCAAACTGCAATTATCTTGGCAAAGCTCTTTGATAAGGTCTAACTAAAAATATGAGAAAAGACCAACAAGAGTATAGAGTGCATGGAACCTAAGGAGTAACACTATTAAGATTTCTTCAATTATCCATCCAGGAAAAGAGAGCCAGGATGGTTTTCTTTATTTTCTTTCGAAGCATATCTAAGGGTTCCATCTCCCATGAAACTACAACATACTTCGGTTAACTAAATTATCCCCCCACAATTGAGACAGAACTCGCAAACTGGAATTTAGCTAAAACAAAATTTACAAGGACGGCTATAATTTTGAGACAAGGAACCTAATGGAAGGAACTTGTAAACATGTAGTGACATAAATTTACAGGTTATATACACATTTATGCATCTGTAATCTTTACATCAACTTCTGAGAAAGCACATTGATATATCATATAAATTCTGAAGGTATCAAGACTCAGCG